GAAAAAAAGGGGGGGGGGAAAGAAGAAGGAGAACCCAAACTAACTCGTGCCTTGACTTTAAGTATTTGCCTACTCAAAAAAGAAAAAAAAGAAAAAAAAAGGTACCAGACCCTGAGGATTGACCGGGCATTCTATTCAGGTGAAGACGGTGGGAGTTGATTGCTCGCTCGTTCCATTTGGAGGCTATTCTACCATAGTCAAGTCTATTCTACCATCGCTTCAGGGGCATTCTACCATAGTCGTAAGGCTGTTCTACCATAACCTCAAGGCTATCCTATCATAGCTTCAAGGCTATTCTACCATAGTCTCAAGTCTATTCTACCATCCTTCTAGGCTATTCTTCCAAAGCCTTGGTGGCGCCGTTGTGCAAGTCGGAGGGTTGGAATGTACCTTTTGTCAAGTATGGAGCATATAGGTTCTTTGCCTTCGTTAATCCCAGCTTCGGTAACTGTACCGCAGCCGATTCATGGGAGGCGTAAAGTAATACGAAGGTGAGGTTTCGTAGACAGCATCCGTTTTGGATCTCCTCGGTTCTCTCTCTTGTTCTGAGAGAGAGAGAGAGGAGTAGGGAGGTGGTCCCTCGTGGGTGACTATCGTTGCTAGCCTTTCCTACAAGAATTAAGGAATCGGAAAACATTTTTGAGGGGTAGGGTGCTAAGAATTTTGGGAGGTGTTGCACTTGTTTGTTCTGTAAAATGTGCACACTGCGCTCCACTAGTCCTCCACAGCCAGCCATTCCGCCATAGCCTCGATGGGGCAGGAGGGGGAAGAGAAGGCAAACTGGAATCGCCAAGTTGACGCGGACAGGCTTTGTTGTTGCCTCATGAAGAAATGTGCTTCCTTCTCGACTGATGAAAGATGGGCATGTCCACGGACGACACCCAAGCACGATGGCTGCAGAGGTCTCAATGACACACTGTCAACCAGTTATGAGGGGTGGGGTGGGGATGTTGGGGTGGGGGGGTCATTGGAGGGGCAGGCTTCTTAAACCACCAGTACCTTTCCCAGGTATTTTTTCAGAGGCGCGCAGGGTAACGCGCTGGCCTGAAACGGAAGGGAGGCCGTCGATAAATCAAATCAACGCGCGGTTTTTCAGAGGCGCGCAGTGCCCGCGGCCGACATATGGGAAAGGTACTGGTGGCTTAAAATCTGAGGTTACCCAGAAAAAAAACAGGAAAAAGGAGGGGGGTGAGGATGCCTGGGACCCAACCCACCTGCTTGGGGTGGCCTTTCTGGTGGCTTTCCAGGCAGGTGCAGGTGGCCCATGTGCATGGAAGTATAACCCAGGTATTCCAGCCTCTTTTGGCGACGTCTCCCTGTGTGTTTGGGGATATCCTATCATTTTTTTCCGGGGGATATTTCTCTATGGCCAACAAGTACCATGTCGAGGCTTCTCCACCATGGCGTCAATGCTATTCCACCATGGCCTGGATGCTACTCCACGATGGCCACGAGGCTAATCCACCATAGCCTTCAGGCAATTCTGCCATAGCCACCAGGCTATTCCACCATAGCCACGAGGTTATTCCACCATAGCTACGAGGCCTAAGGCTTTTCCACCATAGCCACGAGGCTATTTCACGATAGGCATGATGCTACTTCACGATCGGTAGGAGGCTGTTCCACATTGAGGCCAACCAACTAAATCTTTGAGTGAAATAGCGTTACTAACGCCTTCATAGATAGGCAGGCATCAGAGCGACTTTCCCAAACCATTTGCGCAAGTTTCCTCGCATACAGCTTTCAATGAGGTCCTCAGTTAGCATACGGTTTGGGAAAGTCGCTCTGATGCCTGCCTATCTATGAAGGTCCTTATTTTGAGCGAATCTCAAAATAATCTGGAGGAGTACTTTGCATACTTGGCTCTTTGCCTTCATTACTCCCTGGCCACTGTTGTAGTACAGCAGTCGATTCATGGGAGGCAAAAAGTAATGAAGGTGGGGTGTCATTCAGACAGCATTCGTTGTGGAGCTCCCCCTTCTCTCTCTCGTTACGAGAGAATAGCGAGGTGGTCCCACGTGGGTGACTGTTGTTGGTAGCCTTTCCTACAATCAACAAAAACTCGCTGATCTGGAGAAAAACAAAAAACAAAAAACTAAAAAAAACCTTGCTGAGAACTGTTTTGGCCATAGTTGCGGCGCACCTCGGTGCGCGGATTTGCGCACGCATTGCGCACCGCACAGCGCACCCAAGCGCACCGCACTGTAAAAATTAGGTCAAAAAAAAAAAAAAAAGTAGGGGTTTTGTCATTCCTTAGGGTCCCCAACTCGGCAAAAATGTTAAGCGCACCGCGCGAGCTCGCAAACCGGCCGCACCCCCGGCCCAAACTTTTTTTTTGGGCAACGGCTGCCGAATTCCAATTTCCGCAGGCCCTACCCCCAGAAGTTTCAAAATGGCAAAAAGCATAAAATACTAAAAATAGGGCCCATTTCAACTTTTTTCTTGGGCGGGGTATGGAAACTGGCCTTCCCCCTCCCTTCTGCAAATCCCACGCAGTGGTGGGGTAAGTTCGCAAGAAAGGGGTAGTCGTCTAGTAACGACCTGCCTCGCAAAGTTCGCCGATGTCACAACTTGCATTTCCACGGTTGGCCGACCACCAATATATGCTGAAGATTGGCGTTCAGGTCTGCATGTCGGCAGTTATGGGTTAGGATGAAGATGCCCGTAGCTCTCTCGGTTTTTTGTTTTTGTTTTCTTATGAATACGTGCAGTGGGGCCTGCTCCACTGCTCACCACATGCACAAAAGAAATGGCATATGGCGGTGTATGGTCCCATGTCTTAGCAGAAGATTCATTCTACTAATATTATATACATTCGGTGAGTGGTGCAGGGAGCTCTAGATTTTTTGTTTTTTCTTACGAATACGTACAGTGGGGCCTGCTCCACTACTCACCACATGCACAAAAGACATAGCATATGGCGGTGTATGGTTCCATGTTTCAGCAGAAGATTCATTCTATTAATATTGTATACATTTGGTGAGTGGTGGAGGGAGGCCCTGAAAATCACCTGGAGACACGAACACGCTCTAGCTGAATTGGTGACCCATAACTGCCGAGCTACAGCCTTGAACTCGAATCCAAAGCACATATTGGTGGTCTGCCCCACCTCTTCCACAGATGAGGAGACCATCCTCCTAATTGAAGCAGTGACCCTCGATGACTCCACATGTAACGTAGGAGTCATTCGAGGTACCTGCAAATCCCCTCGAGTTGACGTGAAGGGGACCCTTTGTTATCTCTTCTCTCTCTCTCTCTCTCTCTCTCTCTCTCTCTTTCTCTCTCTCTCTCTCTCTCTCTCTCTCTTTCTCTCTCTCT